GATGGTAACAGGCATGCGCTTAGGGCCCGCTTTCCAGCCAGTTTCTGTGGGGTGACGCATTCTGAGGTGAGGCAGATCTCATCTGTGCCTCAACTCAGCCCACAGTAAATGGCTTGAGCGCGCTCACAAAATAAGTGCCCGCGCTGCATTAGTGCCCGCGCTCCAGCAAGTTACTGTGGGCTTACGAGAGGCAGAGCACGCCCCTGCCTCACTTGTCATCGCTCCCGTAGCGGAGCTCGGCAAATTTGCTGATTTTGACTATAAAAAGCGATTAGAATCATACATAAATCACACTTACAACACAGATCAGTGGAGACATTTTATTATTATTACTATTTCGTTTTTCTTTAGTTGTTTTTCCGTTACATTGGAGTATGACAGGTGAGGCTCTGCCTCCCCTGCCTCCACTGACTGCACGTCACTGATCCCAAGGGTTCCCACAATAATGCACACAAGGATATTTCATGTTTAGCTTTTATTTAGTAAATAATCTAAATACATTCAAACTATTTGTATTTTCCTTTAAATTTAAATATTACATTTAGTCCAGCCAGGAGAAACTTTACTGTCAGTGTGATTGATGACAGTATGTATATTAATCTAGATCTCCCTTTCTTTTTAGGAAGAAAATTGTGCAGATGACCTTTTGTACCCTGGAGCACCCATCACCATAGGTCAAAGTCTGCTCCTTCTAATGTCCTATGTCCTGAGGCATAACCTGACCGGAATTGCACTGGACCATCTACTACAGATTTTTAATGAACATTTTCCCGGATTAATGCCAGCAACCTCGTATCTCTTCCACAAATCATATGGTCAATATGGAGAGTATGAGCTCCATTTTTACTGCCATCAGTGCTCTAACTATATTGGAACAAAGGAATGTGGTTTGGCACAGTGTGCTCTGTGTCAATCGTCATTTGATGTGAGCATTAGCCTAAAAAAGGGTTTGTATTTTTTTGGTTGTCAGTTTATCCTCGCAGATAAAAGAGATTCTGGAAAATCCCAATATACAAATCGCAAGACATACATCAACGACAGGTTTCATCTGTGATATCCAATGTGGAGGAGAATATAGGAAGCTCAAAGACAGCGGTGAAATTGGTGAGGATGATATCAGTCTGCTATGGAACTGTGATGGGATCCCTGTTTTCAAAAGCTCTAAGTGCCAAATATGGCCTATTCAGTGCCAGATCATTGAGCTACAGCCTGCAGATAGGAAGAACAACATCTGTGTTCCTTGCCTTTTGTTTGGAGAGAGCAAGCCCAACATCCAAACACTCCTCACTCCTTTTGTAAACGAACTTAAGGAACTTCAAACTCATGGCATCACCTGGGCAGATGGTTGCACTACAAAGGTGCATACCCTAATATGTAGTTCAGATTCTGTTGCCCGGCCACTTATCCGAAATCCGAAGCAGTTTAATGGAATTTATGGTTGTGACTTCTCTTATCAAAGAGGTGGGGGTCCTTATACATATGTTAGTCCTGAATCCGGTCTTCGTACTGAAGCTGAGCATTTTGACAATGCCATGAACGCAACACCTCAGCAGCCTGTCATGGGAGTGAAAGGCCCAAGTCAACTAATGAAATTGGTCACATTTCAAATGGTCCAAGGCTTTGTTCCTGAATACCAGCACAGTGTATGTCTTGGGGTTACTAGACAGCTGGCTACTCTGTGGCTGGATTCCACAAACCATCAAAACGGGTGGTACATAGGCACCAAAACTGAGCTGATCGACAAGGAACTTATGGCAATCTTGCCACCGACCGAGATCACAAGAGTACCACGATCTATCAAAGAAAGGAAGTTTTGGAAGGCGTCTGAGTGGAGGTCGTTCCTTTTGTTCTATGCTTTGCCTGTTTTTAATGGGATCCTGCCCAAAACATACTGGAGCCACCTTTTCCTTTTGGTTTTTGCCATGTATCATCTCCTGCAAGAAAGGATCAGAGAGGGCGACGTGGCAATAGCTGAACAGGCATTGAAAACATTTGTCATAGAATTTGAGGGGTTATATGGCACAGATAATGTTTCATTTAATGTGCAATGATGCACATCTCTATGAGTGTGAGGAACTGGGGACCTTTGTGGGCCACATCCACATTTCCCTTTGAATCTTTTAATGGTACCCTGTTGAAATATTTCAATGGAACAACTCATGTCACTGTACAGATAATGAGAAGGTTCCTTAGAGGGAGGAGTCTCACAAAGAAAGGAGCCACAATAATGCAAAATGCTGATGAGAATATTAAAGATCTTTTATCTGAACTGCAGGGCAGCACGTGTTCAACTGACAAATCAGTTCAAATCAGTGCCCATGTCAGAGTTTTTGGTAAGTCAGTACAGACAGATGTTTCTGTGTTACACATGCTTGCAATAGATTAACTACTAGGTGTCAGAGTTAGACAAGCTCCTACTACAACCGTTTCATTGTGAATGGAATGCTGTATCACTCTGACACAAACAGCCGCCTTCAGAAAAGAAACAACTCTGTTGTAGAGCTGCAGAATGGGACGCTTATCAGAATTCTGAGCTTGGTAGTTTCTGGTACAATACACTGTGTTTTGGTCAAGGAGTTTCTGAAGTCTGGAAGGAAGCTGTGCAGAGACACAACACTTCATATTGCATCAAGCTTTATGTATGAAGTTTCTGAGTGCAACAATGTGCATGTCATACATCCAGACTCATTGACATGCAAATGTGTCATGATTAAGTCGAGGGAGAAGATATATGTTATCCATCTACCAAACAACATTGAACGAGACTGATTTGACTGGACATCAAGGAAGCCTCAAGAACTGATTCAGACTATAGGCTTGATGTAATTCACCGGATAACGAATGAGATTAAATAATGAGCCTATAATGGGAAAATAAGAGTACTAATTTCCAATTCTGTGCACAATGAATTCTGTCATTTTGATGTTCTGCTTCTTAGTATTTTGTAATGTACGATTCCCTAGTAGATTGACTTGTTAAGTACACACCTGTAGTAGAATGTTGAATGGGATGTACCAATGTGTTTTAGGAACCTGTTCTGAACCTGACATACATAAAGTGCCTTCTGTCAAGTAAGTCTTTGTGCATTAATACATGATAATAATAGTCCAGACCTATACACTTCCCAGAGATGTAAACAAAGTACACTATTCACAAGTGTTATAAAATAAACACTTACAAACGAAGTACACTGAAGTACAGTTTAAAATGAACTAACATTAAAGTGCACTGTTTGTAAGTATACATGTACACTTTTAATGAAGTGAAATTAAAGTCTACTTAAATAAAGCATACTAATAGTGTATTACAAAGGACTTGCAAATATTTAACTTTTCAAAAGTAGACTAACGTACCACTATAAGTATTTGCAAGTTAATATACTTTTTAAAAGTACAATGAAGTACAAATTAAGAAAAATGTATATTAAAGTGCACTTAATAAATGGACATTTCTATTAAAGTAAAACCTATCTAATGTTACCATTTCCATCATTTGTGCTATGACATACCTACCCATCTAAGCATTACATTTGACATGGGGTGAGTACCTTAAAATATCAAAGTGTTCAGATACTATCTAGAACAAGTTTGTAAAGTTTTTAAAAAATACAGAAAAACTCAAATTATTCAAAATGGCTGACTTCTAAATAAAAAAATGTAGGAGTTTGTAAAATGTTGCTAGAGTACATCAAATCAATACATTTTTTAAACGGCATACTTCTTGGCTTCTAATGAATGTGCTTATACTACCGTAAAACTCACATTCATTTAAATACTTGACTTCTGCCAATCTGAAATACCTTTGAAATTATATTAGCAATGTGCAAACAAAATTTGTTGCAAATCAGAGAGATCATTTGCATCTACCACAATAATATTAGTGACTTGATGAGCATAATTTACTATTCCAATGTACAACTTTAAAGCTGCCTTTGGAAATATAAAATAGTTATATTATACTGTCATTATTTTACATCTTATATCGCATCATACACACACCTTTTCAAATATCTCAATATTTCCATCTCTTTTAAAAAATAATTTTCAATTGACAATTTCTTGCAATCTTTCTTAAGAAAAGTAAAAAAGAAATATGTACTCAACAAGTAGACATTATCCTGCACAATGATGGCCAAAAGTATGGTATATTTATTTTTGATCAATATGGAGATCACAAATGACAAAGTATTATCATTGCACTAACACATTTTAACACACATTTCCATCTATAATTTTACATTTAGATGTTATGCTTTAATCATGCTAATGTGCAAATTCAGGCTGCACAAAACTACTTTTTACCGCAGGAATAATTGCATAAAGAATCGAACCAAATGTTCAATTTAAAAGAGAAATGTGTAGTGACAGTATATGACATATCATAACCCATAAAGCATACAGTATGAGACGGGCTTTGTGCTTCAGAAGAGTCGGGTGGTCTGGATACTGCAGACCCCCTCCCCCAGTGACACATCTGTAACACTGCTGCTGCCGTTCGATTTGACATGCAGCAGGTCTTTTATGAGCTGAGCACGCATTTTGACTTACATTTTATATTAAAAGCATTTTTTGTAAACATATGCATTGTTACAGAGGTAAGATGCTGATGCCCAATTTACCCCTGCACATCAGACTATGTCATTCTTCTCTTTTTCATGGATTTCACTGTGCCTCCTTTGAGAATAAACAGAGACCTAGCTCACATCCTACTCAGATAGGCCTGTCATGGTGCATCAGGGGAAATCAATAATCTTATTAAAAAATATATATAGAATGCTATATGCATGTCCTCCATCATGCATTTTTCATTGTCAGAATAATGTTAGAGTAGCTGCTGCAGAGCTTTCGTCTTCTAGCCTGATGTTGCTCTCATTAACGCTCGCGTGTTTCGTCTCGACCGTTTCCGCTGCTCTCGGTTCCTGCTCGTGCCTCATCGGTATTCCTAGGCAAACCTCGCGCCGCGCGCACCCCTCTCCAGCAGCAGCAGCGGCACGCGCATATCAGGAGAAGGAGAGGGCATCTGCAGAGCTCGAGACGCTTCTGACGGACTGGACTAACGCCATGAGCACGCAGCGCGTGATGGAGCTGATGTTCTGCTAGGAACCGACAAGAAGCTGCTGTGGCGTCGCGTGAGGATCTGAACACCATGAAACTGCTGTTGATACTCACGCTCGTATGGCGCGAGGCGTCGTGCGGATCTCCGAGTGTCCAAATCGGTAGGCTCTTATTTTCTGTCACCCCCCCTTCCTTCCTTGTCTTTACCTCTCTGTTCATCCGTACGTGTAAATTACTCCCTTGCTCTCCTCCTTCGCGCATCCCCCGCTCTTTCTCTGTCTCCAGCGGAAGGGCCTCTGTCATGTCCCCCGTGCCGCTCTGTCGAGAGGCCTTCTGACTGTACAGCGGCTGCTGCAGTGCTCCTATTTATGTCAACATATTGTTTTTGTATGTGTGTGTATGTGCTTATATGCGCGTGCATCTAATTAACATTGAAACGTGTGCGCACGCACGCATATGCACGTTTGTTTCTCGGTAGTTCAATCCAAATGATTAAAATCCAGCTCTTCAGACGTGTTTCCTGAGATGAATTCCTTATTGGACCACAAATGCAGATATACACAGCAATCCCCGAGCCACTGTGTTCAGTGTTAACCACATGCTTTTGCATTGCATTCAAATAGTACTATTTGTTAGCCATGTCAATGTTATCATGCTACAAGTGTTGCCTTAATGAAATCAAAGGAAAGGGGTTGATACATTTAATTGTCATGTCATTCATTTTACTGCCAACAAATTCCCAATCAATTACTCAACCCAAAGATGAATTTAAAACATGATGAGTATCATGTGTTTATCCATGGAGCTCCATGCCCCTATACCAATCCAGCCCCTACAACCTACTCCTTGATGGAGGGAACTCTGTTTGTTGGAACAGACATCTGGATGAAGCAGCCCTCTTTAAAGGTGAAATGTGAGATAGACACCGTTGCCATGATTTCACATAAATAAATAAACACATTATCAACCACATTTGAACAGGTTAGAGTGTTGACGTTATTTCAAAGAAGTCTGTATTGTGTTGCAGAGATAAATGTATCTGTCCTGTCTAGTAATACTACCTGGTCCTCTAGAGGTGATAGTGAGTCACTGTAGCACCAGTCTGACCCCAGCCTAGAGGGGGAAGAAGAGTGTATAGTGGGAGCAGAGTGGTGCAGGAATGATTCCTAAAATACCTAAATGATTTAGGAATTTACCACTTACGGTTCCACTTACGGTTCCTTTTTCAACCCTAAGATGCCTGAAATAAAGGATGCTGAAGGGGCTAAACAAGCTTCTATCGGCATGTACAGTCTGGGCTCCGACAGTGTTTAAGGACTTTGACTGGAACAGAAAACATCAATCAGAGCTGCCATTCATTTTAAATTAAGTTGTTGTTGCCTCAGTTTCAACCGTTCGTACGCTGTGGAGCGGAGTTTTTTTTTCTTAACGGAAGCAATACGATCATTTTCAATTCAATGAAATCCTTTCAATTAATATTGGGAGTCAAGTCGTTAGTTTGTTTAGTATGTGGCCGTGTGATAAGCGGGATCATGTGAAGCGAGGCTGTCGGTTGATGTTTTTTCAATAGTGACCGCCCTCGCGTAATAATTATCCCTAACCTTTTTTTTTTGTATCGGTTATTTGGCAGGGACAATGCACAGTAATGAACACTTAAAACATTTAAATGTGTGTCTAGTGCCAGATTTAGCTTTGAGCTACTTTCCATCCGCAGTCTCTCTTATCTTAAAGTGGACCTATCATGCTATATTTGAACAATATATTGTAGGGCCATACCTATATAAAGTATATAAATATAGTTTTTTTTTCAAAATACCAAACAGATCCTGCATTTTAGCCATGCCTCATTTCGCTCCATTTGCTCTTTCCAGCCCTGTTTTTGCAGGGGTCTGATTCTATGAGCTGCAGCTGACCACGCCCCCCTGCAGGAGAGGGGAGCGTGCTCTGATCAGCTGCTGGGCTGTCAGAAGAGGGGGAGAAAAAGAGATCTCCGTCCTCCGTGTTTTATTATATTATTATATAGAGTCGTTATTCATTTGTTTTAAAGCTCAATAAATAACAAAGAAGACCTTTGACCGGCACTTTTCTAATTTTGTCCGGAAGATTTAAACTTTAACGGACATGTTGACCGGCGAAAGAAACTGAAACTGAAACTCTGCCGCACGGTCCCCTCGTTCCTTGGAAGAGGCGGAGAGGTGGGTGTTTGTCATCTGCTGGTGGACTAACCGGAGAGAATTACAGTGCTTGCCTCGACGGGGAGGGATTGCATTGAATTAAAGCAGCGGGAGCAAACGCTTGCCTCGGGGAGGGAGAAAAAGAGCCACAGCGGAGAATAAACAGAAGGGCAACCATGGCAACCATGCGCGGGAAGTCTTCTTCGCTGCTTTTGTGGCAGACTACAGCGCCACTTACAGGCCTGGAATATGTACTACAGCGTCTCCAGTGCTTTCGAGCGGCAATGGCCGGCCGTGGCCCAACCCCACATTCCCCTGATAGGTGGAGAGTTGGCCCAATAGCCGTAGCTCCACTTTCCTGACGTCAGTGAAATGTTCAAATCTGGATCAGTTTTTATCAGATCCGTTGCAGCCCCTTTTTTAGAGATTTGGGTATGGAGGAAAATAGAGAGGGTTGTGTTTTCTGACACTTGGTGAGTTCCCTGGAACACCGGGGACACATATTCATGTGTAAAAGACGTACAAAAGTGCATTTTGCATGATAGGTCCCCTTTAAGTGTAATATTACACTGCCGTACTAAATGTCAGTGGTTGTGTGGTGCTGTGTACATGTGTGTGATGAAAACACTATGTAAGATGGTGCTGTGCGAGGTGGCAGCCTGTTGCAGCAGCTGTATTATTTTCTGATGACTGCAGTGGTAGGGTGTATGAGCGATGGACAGGAGGAGTATAGAGTAGGGCTGTGCAATTAATCGTATTTAAATCGCAATCACGATTTTGGCCTACCACAATTACGAAAACTACATAATCGAAAAAAACAATTATTTAGCTTTGCTAGGTTGTGACAGTGCACTGCAACATATTTGATCTCATTTATTTTAGTCTCATTTATTTGTATTTATCATATTTATATATGTTTAGTAGCTTGTGGAAGTGCGCTCCAAAATATTTGTTGATCTTGTTTATTGGTATTTATTATTTTGATATTATTTATTTAAATGTATCATTTATTTTATTTATTTTTGTATTGGTTTTTCAGTTGAATTATACGTTCAGGGTAATCAACAGTTAAAAAGATACTGTTCAAATTATTATTTGTATTTGTTTTAAAGTTCAATAAATTGATTTTTTCAAAGTCAATGAATAATCGTATTTAATAATCGTGATATCAATTATTGACCCAAATAATCGTGATTATGATTTTTGCCATAATCGCACAGCCCTAGTATAGAGTGCCGGTGGATGATTTTTGGAGTGGACCGGTGGAAATAATTTGCTTCTGAATGTAACCAAGACCAAGGAGATAGTGACGGCCTTCAGAAGGAAGAGGATCACAGCCCCTGTGCATTCTCAAAATGGTCGAGGATTGATGCTTTGTTCGAGGTTCAAAAGTTCAAGGGGTTTTATGGTCATAGGCACAGATGCTGAAGTGTAGATATGGCGATGAAAGTCCCAAGCTCTTCGAACAATGCAACATAATATATATATATAGGACATAATACAGTTAAACAATTTGAAGAATACAATAATACAAATAGTGCAAGAAGAAACAGTAGAATAGTATTATTGCAGATTATGTTAATTGTTAACCGAATTAACATTGCTTTATTTAAATGTGAAATAAATAAATACATATAATTATGTTATTATATTGTACTGTACTTGAGTAAAACGTTGAGGTAATTGTACTTTACTGGAGTATTTAAATGTTTTGCTACTTAGTACTTGAGTAGCAAAACTCAAGTACTCCACTACAGTTCAGAGGTAAATTATGTACTTTTACTCCACTACATTTATTGAATACCTTTCGGTATTTTTACAGATCTGGATTAATGATGTGAAATATAATCAAGTCTTAAATCAGACTTTAGTTCCACCTGGAATAAATTCACAAGCTACCCTGCAGTATACAAAGTAATTAAAACTAGCTGCACCTTTACCAGCTTTGATAACACTTTAATGATCAATAGTTATAAAACATATCATATATATTATTCTGAAATGGACCAATCTGCACAATGACTACTTTTGGTACTTTACCTCTATTTTGATGCTAATACTTTTCTACTTTTACTTGAGTAACATTTTGAATGCAGTACTTTTACTGTAACAGAGTATTCCTACAATCTGGTTTTTACTTAACTACAAGATCTGAGTACTTCTCCCACCTCTGCACACCTGATGTGATAACGTTACTCGTAATTGGAGCAACAGAGCTACGAGTTAAGGAAGTCGAAAATTGTGCATTTCTCCGACTGAATAAGATGCCTTTTGACCAGCTGTTTGGACAGACTGCTCGTGTCAATGCGCTTACGCAAAAACACTAATGGCAAACAAGCTTTGTCCACATCGAGCCTTGTCGAGTGTCACTATACTTTTGAACGCTCCGTCCCCGGCAGATCTCTGTGTGCCGCTGTAGCGTCTCTGTTAGGCCCCGCCCCCGCACACAGACGAGACACAGGGAGATCGCTCTTCTGGAGTGAAGAGAGCGGAAATAATGATATTGCAAGTTAGAAACGTAAGATGCATTTTGACAGACAAGACGGACAATTGGGGGGAAATACCCTGCATTTTGAATATCCGATAGTCCACCATTAACACATTAGTCCCGTCTCGTCTCGTCAACGAAAACAAAATATACATTTCGTCATAGTTTTTATTATCAAGAATCAATTTTTAGCTCGTCATCGTCTCGTCTTGTCATGTAAAAAAGGTCATTGACGAACATTTTTCGTCATAGTTTTCGTTGACGAAATTAACACTGTGTCACACACAGGCCCGCCCCTCCCTACACGCAGATCACGCAGACTGCGTGGGGCCTCACCTCGCGGAGGGGGCCTCATCTAGCATTTCTCAATATCAAGCCACAATTATTGTCTTAATTCTTTATTTTCACTGTATTTCGTGACAATAAGACGAAATGAGACTGAGGCTGGGTTGTAAAATCACATGCATACAGTCTGTGGGCTGCACTGCCTTTCTTGTCTTTAATAATTAGGACTGCCCTCTACTATAGATCTTTCTAGCTGACCAGTATAGTCGTCAATTCAGGGGATTATTTGACTAGTCATCGCACCTTTATGATTTTTTTTTATTATTAATATTATCTTCTTTTTTTTCACAAAATTATTTAAGTTCCAGGTCTGAGAAAGAGCATTATTTTATTTATCATTGTTGAGTTGTGCTACATATAAAATATTATATAACACTGTAATAACCAACCTTTGAAATATAAATACATTTTACACGTCTAAAGCGCATGTGAGTCACAGTGTACCGCACGGATGAAGCGATCAGCCCGTCTGCGGCAGATGCAGCAGAAACTTCAGTAAAGATCCTAATGTGTGTCTGAAAAAGCAGTGAGCACACACTGAACATTTAGTTCATTTATTGTCTACACAGTAAAACATACTTAAATCATCACACACAACTTGTGGATGATAACTAAAGAAATTATTAGAAAAAACATTTACAGTTTATATTTAAAATGCAAACGGAAACACTTGCAGATATGGGTGTTGGCAACAATACCTCCAGTGATACGCCCTCACCATGGAATGAAAACTTGAATAAAAAAGATTCTGATCAGAAGTATACTATATTGTAAAAATGAAAGAAATTAAACAACCACATTATAAAAGTTGACTTTTATCCCCAAAATTTATATTTTTTATATTATTTATTTATTGAAATAAAAGTAATTCAGTACAGTGATGGTTTAATTAGGTGAGTGGAATGTTACTGTCAATATCTTTTCAGATTCTGTGTGTTTTGGAACCGCTAAATAAACTAAAATAACCCTGAAATGTGACAGTGTGTCATTTTGTTTAATTTTGTAAAGCAGCTCATTAAAGGGGCCAGAATGGAGCGCTGGAGGCAATTTTAAAACTCGACTCAACCCTGATAATAATAATAATATTAAGCTTTATATTTGTATAGCACATTTCATTCAAGAATTGTAGCCCAAAGTGCCTCACAGAAGTTAAATAGACAAATGAGAGTAAAATAGACAAAATTAAAGCAATGCAGAAAATATAATTATTAAAGCAATGTAGACAATAACAAATATTGATTGATAAAAAGCTATCCAACAGCTAAGGCCCCGGCTCCACGGGGACGAAAACGGCAAAACGCATCGGAGTAACGCAAATGCAACCGCAAAAAACCTTCCGTCCACACGCAATATACACCAGATTGTGTCAAGCTCCACGAGACGGCTCCGTTTACATCCAAACGCTGGAAAAGCTGCAGTACATATGCCGAACCTGTACGTGGCGCTGTAACTTCCTCCACCAAAAGCAGCAACTTCCTCCACAAAAGCAGCGAAGAAGAATCGTTGTCATGGCTGCACTTCTGTTTATTCTCCGCGGTGGGGGCCAAGGGATCCGGGCAGAGTTTTTCGCCAGTCAACGTGTGTTAAAGTTTAAATCTTCCGGACAAAATTATAAAAGTGCCGGTCAAAGGTCTTCTTTGTTATTTATTGAGCTTTAAAACAAATGAATAACGACGATATAATGATATATGAAAATAAAATACACAGAGCCTATCTCTTTTTCCTCTCTTCTCACAGCGTCAGTGTCTGTCTCATGCAGCAGCTGATCCAGTAATGATGACTCGACAGTAAAAATAAACATATTTATAACTAGTTTAGGTAGTTTGAGAGGTAATTAAAATAGCTATTGTTGTTGTTAACGAAACACATCAGCAATGATGCGGGGTACGCGGAGAGGTGGGAAGAGGTGGGGAGAGGCGGGGAGAGGCGGGGCTATGAAACGGATGACCGTATAGGCGACCCCACGGCCCCGTTGGACCCCCCAGAGCGCTCTGTTCCCAGATCTATCCACCTTTGGACCCGTTGTCGTTTGCGGGGTCTGTTTCTACGTTTCCCTTACGGCGTCGTCGAGCTTAGAGGGCTATACGCATGAGAAATATGCGGATTCAACCCGTTTTCGTCCCCGTGGAGCCGGGGCCTAAATCTAAACAAATATATCCACACGATTAATACATGACGTCTCAGACTTGTGACTCGGACTTGAACACAGGTAATGATGACTCGGACTCGTCTCGGACTGAGTGACTTCGACTTGAACTCGGATTCGCAAAGTGGTGACTCGAGAGTGATTGGGACTAGAGAACTGGTGACTTGAATGAAACACATATTATAAGGGTTTATGGTTCATGATACATTGAAATAAATCCCTAAAAACATTTTTGTTGTAAAATGTATTTTAAAAACATGTATTAAATGTATTATTATTAAAAGTAAAAACACTGTAATATTTATACAAAAAATATAGCGAATAATTTTCTTTCTGATGGTCTGTCTGTGTCTTGTGTTTCCAGGCGGTCTGTTTCCGCGGGGTGCAGATCAGGAGTACAGTGCGTTCAGGGTTGGCATGGTTCAGTTTGGAATGGCAGATTTCAGACTGACTCCACACATAGATAACCTGGAGGTGGCTAACAGCTTTGCTGTCACTAACTGCTGTAAGTATCACATTTATTTTTACCAAACATGGTTTGAAAAACTACAGAGGAAAATGTGTATTAGAAGTGCATAGCTTGACCAGTGTACTCTAATTTTGAGGCTGCTTTCAATGTCAATATCTGATCTGGTTTTTTTTCTATGTCTTTCTTATTGAATGTGTGTGAAATGGTAGCTGGAGAGGTGCCAGTTCATCTCATGCCAAGCTACTTTTGAGCAAGGCACCAAACCCCTCACTGTTGTACTGTAGCAACCCATCATCTGAACAAAATCAAAAGAAAAAAAGACTATATTAATCCAACATTGACTGTTTGGGAATATCGGAATCTTGGCTAAAACAGTCGTCACCATCCACTCTTGTATCTATGTCAGGATATAATGTGTTTAGGAAGGACAGACTGAAGGGAAAAGGAGGGGGGGTGTTGCTTTATGTGAGGAATACCATTACCTGTAGGGAGATTGCACTCCCAGCTAATATTGAGTTTGATTGTGTTGGTGTGGAAATCACACTTTCTGAGGAAATGTACCTCACGATGATTTGCCTATATCGACAACCCACCGCTAAGGTGGATTTCTATGATCAGGTAAAACTCCTGCTGAATTCCTGTGACTCCAACAAAGAGCTAATCATTTTAGGAGACTTTAACATAAGCTGGAATGATAAACAAAATAGAAAGAACTTAAAACAGATCACGGATAAACACAACTTAATACAACTAATGGATCAACCGACTAGAATAACCAAAACCTCCAAGACTATGATAGATTTCTTATTTACTAACAAAGCTGACAGAATAGTTCAAACCTACAACTTCCTGACTGGTCTTTCTGACCATAATCTTGTTCTTTTTACCAGGAAACTCACACAAAAAAGGTTCATGGCCACACCTAAAACCCCTGTCTTCGGTTCTCGCTTCATCCCCAAAAACCTGCAACAACGTTTTATGGAGGCAGTGAAAATGATTGATTGTGGGGACACTCTCTCCTCTGAAAATATTGGTGAAAACAGTAATCTGTTTATATCTCAAATTAATGATACAATGTCTTCCTTTTCAAGGAGAGGGTGCCTTAGGGACAGGAAGGAACATCATCTTCCCTGGCTAAATCTACAGTGCAGGAATCTCATGAAATCTAGAGACCAACTATTAAAGCAGAGTTTGAAATCCGGACTATCCACTGATAGACAGAAATTCACTCATGCTCGTAACAAGGTAACACAAACAATAAGACAGGCCAAAGCTAACTTCTTCATCAATATAATTGAAGGTGCGAAAGGTAACGGTAAAAACGTTTGGCAAATTTTAAATAAACTATTAGGTAAACATACCAAACAGGAAAATAATGTTCTAGAATTAAAAATCAATGATACCCTGATAAAAGACCCTGCAGTGTTGGCCAGCTCTCTCAATGAGTATTTCTTAAATAGTGCTCTGGACATTACAAAGCTCTTCCCGCCATCTGAGGTCTCACCTAGCCCGACTGTAGATACACACCCCGTTTTTGACCTGGAAGAAATCACAGAGGTGGAGGTAAAAAATATAATCTCAGGGTTAAGAGGTTCTAAGGCTAGGGATGCAGATGATTTCGACACCAACTTTCTAAAGACAAATATCGACGGTCTAATAAAACCAATTACTATGCTAGTGAATCAATCTATCAGCACGAGGGAAGTTCCATCATCCTGGAAAGTGGCCACGGTGACACCGATTTTTAAATCTGGGGATAAGGCAATGATGTCCAACTACAGACCAATCAGCATCCTCCCCTGTGTCTCTAAGGTAGCTGAGAAATGGGTGTCAAAACTAATCACCAAACATTTAGATAAAGGTTTCGCTCCACTCCACCCAATGCAGTTTGGTTTCCGTGCTCACCACTCCACTGAGACAGCTAACTGTCTTTGTGGAAAAGGTTAAATGTATGTTGGACACGAGCCCATATGTAGGTGCTGTCTTCCTTGATCTTAGGAAGGCTTTTGACACTGTTGACCACCAGGTGCTCCTTACAAAGCTGACTCATTTCAATTTTTCGGCAGTTTCGATACATTGGGTTAAGTCTTACTTATCGAACAGAAAACATTGTGTTTTGGTCAATGGTGCCAAATCCCCCTACCTTGTGAACCCTGTTGGGGTTCCACAAGGTTCCATTCTTGGACCGTTACTGTTTTCACTGTACATTAATGACTTGCCGAATGTATGTCCTGAGTTGAATGTGCAAATGTATGCCGATGATGCGGTCATCTTTGTACATGGGAAAAACACTGAAATGATCTCATCTTGTCTCTCTAATGCTTTGGACAAGGTTCAACACTGGCTGAACAACATTTGCTTACAGTTAAACGTAAAAAAAACAGTATGCATGATGTTCAGTAAACGACCAGTCAAAATCGAAGGATCCAACGTGTTTTTAAACGGAGCAGAAATAGAACTAGTCTCCCACTTCAAGTATCTTGGAGTCATACTGGACTCAAACTTGACTTTTAAGAAACATATCAAGAAAGTATCCAATACTATTAAATTCAACTTGCAAAATGTAAAACAAATTAGACCCTTCTTAACTGTCAATGCTGCAAAGTCATACCTCCACTGTATGATTCTATCCCATATTGAATACTGTTTTACAAACTGGTCTTGTGCCACAAACCTGAAACCCATAGAACAGCTGTACAAGAGAGCTATCAAGGTTTTTGACAGAAAGCCAACTCAATTTCTTGAGTTTTGACCATTTTAAGTATTTTAAAAGTATGTGTTTTATTTATAAATGTTTACATGGACTGCCCCCCCCCCCCTCCCTTAGGGGAATTCATCCACAAAAAACACACTGGACGCTGCACTAGGTCAGAAACCAGAGGAGACTATGAAGTCCACCATAGACGGACCACTTTTGGACAAAATGTCCTCTCCATTAAAGGCAGCTCTTTGTGGAATAGCCTCCCTACTGAGATACGGGATTGTCCCACTCTCAATAGCTTCAAAGGTCAACTCAAAGAATGGTTAAGAAACAAACAGACGTGCAATCACCGCTAAATGCACTTTAACACAGGGGTATCTCCTCTTGCACTTTATGTGGCACTTTTATCTTTCTTGCACTTTACATGTCGTAGCTGTTATATTATATTACCATGTCATAAATACTTGTGGATGCTGCTCTTGCTCTTTTGTACCTTTTGCACATCATGTATTTGTTTTTGCTATGTTTGTAAAATGTAAACTTCTTAAATGTTTTATGTGAGGGACTGCGGATGGAAATTAGCTCAAAGCCAAATCTGGCACTGTTACGCTTGACACATTTGAATGTTTTAAGTGTTCATTATTGTGCATTGTCCCTGCCAAATAAACGATTAAAATAAAAAAAAAAAAAAATATCCCACTGGAATATTAATAATTAATTGACATTCTAGATTTGTTTCCAGTGACATATTATGCAGTGAGTGTTTATGTAGTAACTTTACTATTGTAAACACCCTCTTTGAATAATATATTAATAAACAATTATTTAGTAAAAAAAAAACAAGTGATTTAGAAGAAGCATCCAAAAGAGAGACAGCAAATATAGGGGCTTATCGTAAGCCACAGGTCTCCCTATTATATATATAAATAAAATAAGGACTTTCATGCTTGGCTCCCCTACAAGAGTCCTGGGAGCCTGACAGTTCTGCACAGTATCTCAGCTGTTCCTAGGATTGCGCTCTTCTGGACAGAGATATCGGATGCTGTTCCTGGGATTTCCTGGAGCCAAAGCCCAGTTTGGGGGTTGCTGCGCCGCTCCGATCATCACTTGATCCACTGTTGCCTTCACTTAGCACATCTTCTTTAGGTTGCTCTCGGTATTTCCCAAGCTTTTCGTGTTCCTTCTTCCTGATTATGGTTTACCATTATCATTTTATCAGTCTGGATCTGGAAGTCCTACAGGATCTTAGCTTTGTCGTTCTCTGGAGGTGCTGCCCATTTTGACCATGGGACATCCAGCCCATATTCTGCACAGATGTTTCCATACACTATTCTAGACACTTGGTTAATAGCGCTCCATGTATGCCATAACTGCCTGCATCTTACACCCTGCTGTTATGTGCTGGACTGTCACAGGGGCCTCTGAACACACCCTACACCTGGGATCCTGTCTGGTATGATAGACCACGGCCTCTATGGATCTGGTCAGCTCTTTTCCATCCATTGGTATGATTTCTGGATATTAACCACTTCCTCTATCTGTCAATGGTACATGCCATGCGGGGGATTGTCCTTCCATGACAGATCCTCCTCCCCTCCTGCCTCCTTATTAGTATTCTGCTGCTGGAGCCATTCACTAAGCATGTCGTCAGTTGTGGTCCTCTTCCTGATGTACTCCTGGATCTTTGTTGTTTCATCCTGGATAGTGGCTCTGACGCTCATGAGTCCAAGGTCTCAGGGGGCTGGACTTGGGGTGAAGCCCTCCATGCTTTGTTAGGACCTTCCTTGTCCTGATATCAGCAGCTTCTATCTCTTCCTTTGGCCAGGTTATTATACCAGCGGGTTCTCTGATGACCGGCAGTGTGTATGTGTTGATGGCTCAGCCTAATGTTGTTTTTTCTTAAAATTGAAAGATGTCTTCTTTCGTTCCTTTTTTAACTGGGGCAGTGTAGAGTCATGTTACGTTTGTGCAACGCAGTAAAGCTGTGGAGCAAAGAAAAGAAACAATGGGAATCAGGATGCCTCCATGAGAGCCTGATGTAATGATGGCCTGAGGCTCAGAGCTCTGCTATATGAGTACACAGTATTGTGATGGCAGTGAATGCATGCAGTCCTCTTTCTCTGCTGTGTATACTCTTGTTTTGCACCTGCTACACAGACATAATGTGCTGATATTCAAAGCCTATTTTGCTGAAGAAAGTCAAAAATGCCTACCTCAGTTAATAGGGAACATGTTATGTGGCTCATCGCCTGCAATCCCTGATTGTAACAGATCCACTCTTTAATATACATTTTCTTAAAGTAGTCAACTTTTATTCAATAAATAAAAATAACGC